TTAGCAAAGAAGAATATTAAGCATGTTTAATCAGAGTATAAACACAAAATTTTATTATGTATCAATCAATTCCAATATCAATGTGTGATAAATATCAAAAAATTAAAAGTTTATTAGGTGATAAAGATATTTATCAAATGATTACTGAATATCTTCAGAATATTAGTTGTGATGTAACTGTAGATAAATTTAAGACATATGTTAAACAAGAAGTTTTTTCAAGTATTAGAATCAAAAATAAAAATTCAATTTTAAATACTATTGCACAGGTATGGTTAAAGTATTTTAGTTAGATATTTCATATAGGAAGTAAAGATATTTATTATAATGGATATGAAAGATCTGATGTGTTTGAATATTGATAAAAATTTTTAACAGAAATGGCAGAATTAGAACAATGGATGTCAAAACCTTCAGATGATAATATTATAACATAAGTAATTCATGATGAATTATTATTTTATGTTAATGATGGTAAAAAAACCTTTTGGAACCTGCCAGACATTAACTTCTTTGTATAAAAGGATCAGGTTTAAGTTTACATGTTAGTAATTTTTTAACAGAAGTTGATGGTTGATTAAAATTTGAACAAGATAAAGCATGTATTATAATGAAACCAGGTATTAATTGTGATGGTTAGTGGAAAACTGAAAATTTAATTACACAAGTAAATATTTTATTTTATTTTTATTTTATTTTTATTTATTATTTTTAAAATTACTAATTGATACTTATTTTATAATTAGATTACTGAAAATGCAATTCCAATTTTTGAAAAATTGCATTTTGGTGAAATTGGTATATTTGTATTTGATAATGTAACATCTCATGCTGCATATGCAGAGAATGCTTTAATCACATCAAAAATGAATCTTAAACCAGGTGGTAAAGGAAAATTTAGAAATAGAATAATACCTAATAGGTTAATACAATCAATGTATCTTCCAAATGGACAACTAAAAGGAATTCATTTAATTTTAAAAGAATATGATTTATGACCAGAAAAAGGGTTAAATCGTATTTATTCTAAATGTAAAAATATTCTCTAATTGTTGTGCAGTTAGAGTACTTTCACTTCAATCAGATTTTTTAGTACAAAGACCATTAGTTAAAGAAGTTATTGAGGATTGTGGGCATAAAGTTATTTTTTATCTAAAATTCTATTATGAACTTAATTTTATTGAAATGTTTTGGGTGCTGCTAAACATTATGCTCGTAATAATTGTGATTACTTCTTTAAAGGATTAGAAAAAATAGTTCCTGAAGCATTAAATTCAATTTTTTTAAAAACAATTAGATGTTATGCTCGTAGATCTTGGAGATTTATAAATGCATATAGAAAAGAATTAATAGATACAGAAGAATTATCAATCGCCAGACAAATTTATGTTATACAAATTTATTAGTAAAAAAAATTGGTATAACATAAAGTAAAAAACTTCGATCATATTGCAAATTTATAATAACGCATACTTGTATGATTATCCAAATGTTACACTAAATAATGTGTGACTTAAGGAATTGATCTGATTTATTTTTAAAACCAAATTACCGTTAATAAAAAATATGTACAAAGTGTGAAATATATGAATTTTTAAAGCATTTTTCATAAGATCCTCCTAAATTTAAAGACATATAAGCTTATTTTATATTGAATTAGATAAAATAAAGTAGCTATTTTTAATAACTTTAGTTTTAAAAAAGTGCTATACAAAGACTTTTATGTAAAATCAAAATTATGATTTATTTTTTATTTGAAGCGTTACAAAAATTATTTTTTTCTCTTCATTATTTTATTATTATTATAATAACGCTTAACCCTTTGAATATCCCATGCAGACGACAAATTTTTTAAAGCATCATTAATTTCTGCTTCAGTTGGCATTGAATCTTTAAGTAATAAAGGATTCAATATTTCTTTTTCTTTGTTAGTTGTAATTGTTCTTCAATATTTAGAAACAGGATTTTCGTTATCTAAGGTATTTGAAAGATTAATAGACAATTGTTAAGAATTTTTGTTATTTTGTTGAGGTGTAGAATGGGATGCACCTTCATTATTTCCTTCAGAAATTTTTTGTCTTTTTGAAATTTTTATTGATTTTATATCTGTCTTTACTATTTCTAGATGACGTCTTCCTTTGTATTTATCCGCTCAGTTTTAATAACTTCCTGACAATAAACTTCCTTTATTCTTCTTAATCCTTCTTTATAAGCATTACTTAATTTACTTAATCCTTCTGGTATTAATTGTGATGGTGGGTTTTTCTTAAAAAGTTCATGTTCTATATAATTATCTGTTTGAAATATTTCAATCAAGCTTTCTATCAATTTCCATAAAGGATCAATTCTGTTATTTACTTTACGATCTTTTCTATTATAATTATAGAGATCTAAAAACTCATTCAACAATAAATCAATTCTTTCTCTTTCTTCTTGCGTGACTTGAATTTGAAGAGTCAAATTCTCTTGATCAATAATATTTCCAATTATATTTTGTTTAATATAACTAACTCCACGCATTTCTAAAGCTTTATCAAATGCTAGATAATGACCTTTTCTTGCCAAATTAATAGAAGCACAATAGTGAAGTTTTTTTTTAAATTAGGATATTTTTTAAGCATTGATAGAAAATGAGCGACAGATGTGATATAGTTATTTTTGCTTGCAGTTGGAAAGAGAGGTGCAAAAGCTGCTAGACTGTCATGTTGTAATTCATAATTACCAATGCATATTCCAATAAGATGACTTTTTCACATTACAAAATATTTATAATAAAAGTATCAAACTCTAATACATATATTTTTATCTGTTGGTTCATTTAAGATATCTTCAATGTTAATATTCTTTTTTTTTGTATAGATATGAATGGCTATTCCAACAGCAATCCATATTAGTTCCAGTACTTTTCTTGTTGATCTATAGTCAACAATAGTTTGAAGTTTATTTAAAAAACAGACACCAATTGCTGTAGCCAAATGAAAGATTCTGTAACTTGAAAAAATAGTAAGTAATACACTAAGCATATCTTTAGATGTATGTCACTGACCTAATATTGGCCTTATTTTTTCCTATTTAGTATATAGTTTGATTAATCTTCTAAAGATAGCTTCATCTGCACAAATATCTAGATATTCATTGTCGTTTAATAAGAATTCTTTTTTGTACATTTGTTTGGCACGCAAAATCTCATCATCATCATTTGGAGAACCAGTAGGAGTTAAAATAACTACATTAGGAGGTGGAATCAAACAACCAAATTCGCATTCGTTAAGAATTTCTTTTTCAATTATTTCAACATCTAAATTTTTGTTATAATTTACATTTCTGTTTATATCAATTTGAAATTCTAATAATTTCTCAAAAATACACAATCAATCTTATTTTGCATTACACACATTCCTAATGTCATCCCAAAAAGAGGAGTATCAGGATTTAATTCTATAATTTTTTCAGGTATTTTATTAATAGGTATTGGTAATGTTGATTGGAATACCATTTTTAGGGTTGCATGTAAAATTTCACGTATTACATCATAAATATTACCAAATCCAAAACTAACTTCTTTGAAATCTATGTTATCAATTACAGCCAAGTTAAATACATTATTTCCTCTTATTAATCGCTTTGTAGAATCGATATCCTGCATTCTAGTTTTTTCTAACTGGTGTTCATGACGATTTGTATGTCTGATAATTGAACATTTCGTTAACAATGTATGAAGAGAAGAAATTAACTTTGGTCTTCTGCACAAAGATGTTAATATAGTGGGAAGCCAAAGATTAAAATAAGGAAAAGCATATCCAACTGATACTGAAAGTAAAAAAGAAATAGTTTTGTATATTTTCTGAGAATCAAGTTATTTTAAAAATTTGTTTTGTATTTATTGTATCGATTGGATCGAGTTATTTTTTTTATTTCTAATTGTAAAAATATTTTTTCAAAAAAAATCCTTAAAAATTTAGGAAATGCATTAACATATTCAACGATATGAGTTGGGAATTGAAGATAATTTTTATTTGTTTTTAAATATTTGTATGATCGCCATAATTTGTCTCCAACTAATTTTCTGAGTTTTTCAAAATCTTCTTCTTTTAATTCTTTTTTATCACGATAAATAGGAATTATATTTAAGCATGACAATGTTCGAATCATAAAAAAAGTTAGAAGCTTCGATAGTGTTGGGATATGGAATATGTTAGAATTTCGCTTGTATTTATTTTGTTCAAATAATTCTCATCTAAAAATTGAAAATAAAGAGGTAAAAAGGTTTTGAGAACCGTTTCTTGATATTTCTCATTTTTATTATCTTTAACGTACAATAGCCAATGAACAATTACTTTTAAATTTTTTTAATGTCTTGATTATGATATTTTTGATCAAAACAGGTCACCGGCTTTTTTCCTTTACCAGGTTTTACATGAAAATGACCCCTTCTAACTCATAACATTCTGAACAAATGTAACGTGAACTTATAATATTTTCTGAAATAAGTTCACAAATTGGACTACATTCTTCAAGTGCAGGACATTTATATTATCTATTACATGCAATTTGTATATTTTTTCCTAATAATTTCCATGAATGTTTTGAACAACCATTTCCTCAACTAAAAAAGTAAAAAAGTTTTTCACAAAAGAGACATCTTCGCCTGCGAAGAATACTATTCACTATAGATTTATCTTTCTTAATTTTTGGACTATGTAATTTGTTTTGATCGTGATTGAAATGATAGCTGCAGACCCTAATTTTTCTAAAGATCCATCCACTTATAAAATTTTCTTTTCGCCTATTTGCTATACTCCAACTAATTACCATAATGTCTGAAAACTCTCTGTATTTTTACACTTTTGAATTTTACCATCTATTTTATCAATTATTACATATGAAGTTAAATTATTAATTTTGTTTTGTTCAATAACAATGTCATCCTCATCATTATTATCTAAGCTTTCCTTATTTTCACTTTCAAACTCATTAAATTTATTAGACTCAAAACTATCATCAAATCCTATATCAGCTTCGTTAAATTCAAAAGTTTCCGATTCAAAAACTTTATCTATAATATTTGTTTTATTAATATTAAAT